TATCAGTCTACAACGAATAACAACTTGAAATAAAATGTTAGTATCCAAAACGAAATTCTGTCCAAGTTAATCAATCGAAAAAGTCTTTGAATCTATGCAAACATTTTTTACGAACTACAAAGTTTCTTAAATACACCAATATTTTTCAGGGTAAGATCTTAATGTGAAGTGGCTAGCAAGTTATTCAGTTTAAGAAGACTTACTGGTCACCTAATCAGTGGAAGTTAGAACACTATTTGTTCTCAGGTGTATGAAAATGTCAACATAATGTGAAATAAAAGCTTTGATTTTAATTCATAATTGAAAAGATGAAAAATATTTATGCACATATTCTCCTTTACAAAGTTCAGAAGATATAGAACAACAAATTGAGCACTATAATATGACATCATTTTATTTCGTCAGCTGCTTGCAACCTATAATACATTTCATATGATATCACAATAGAAATATTCAGCATACTTATATTCATCAACAAGTAGTCGGTCAATGGATATAATCAACATTTAAAGTAATAGTTGGTTAGAGTCAGTCGATAGGTTATACTGGTTTACTTTGGTTTCCCCCTTGTTGACACTCGTCAGAAAGGCGTATCTGCAACCTCCTCTATGTAACCTATTGATCTACACAGTACAAATTTCCTGCTAACTTACCTTTGTTTCGTGTCCGGCTTTGTTTATATTTATTTGTCAGTTTTCGAAATATTCTGCTGTTAGGAAAAACGGAAGTGAAACGAAGCAGAAGTTGATCATATGGAAGTATTTCGACTGAACATAAAATGTGATTATAAAATGCGGTTGCACTATATCATGAACTAACAGAAGTTGGAAATATGAACCATTGGATCCTGACTCAGTGGCTCAATGGTAACGTGCTGGCCACGGAACCCGAAGGTCACGGGTTGGATCCCTGTCGAAGTCGTGGGTGCGTACTGCTGAGAGGTCCCATACTAGGACGAAACAGCTGTCCAGTGCTCCCAGGTTTCTTTTGCTCCTCCAACTGATATCAGTCTACAACGAATAACAACTTGAAATAAAATGTTAGTATCCAAAACGAAATTCTGTCCAAGTTAATCAATCGAAAAAGTCTTTGAATCTATGCAAACATTTTTTACGAACTACAAAGTTTCTTAAATACACCAATATTTTCAGGGTAAGATCTTAATGTGAAGTGGCTAGCAAGTTATTCAGTTTAAGAAGACTTACTGGTCACCTAATCAGTGGAAGTTAGAACACTATTTGTTCTCAGGTGTATGAAAATGTCAACATAATGTGAAATAAAAGCTTTGATTTTAATTCATAATTGAAAAGATGAAAAATATTTATGCACATATTCTCCTTTACAAAGTTCAGAAGATATAGAACAACAAATTGAGCACTATAATATGACATCATTTTATTTCGTCAGCTGCTTGCAACCTATAATACATTTCATATGATATCACAATAGAAATATTCAGCATACTTATATTCATCAACAAGTAGTCGGTCAATGGATATAATCAACATTTAAAGTAATAGTTGGTTAGAGTCAGTCGATAGGTTATACTGGTTTACTTTGGTTTCCCCCTTGTTGACACTCGTCAGAAAGGCGTATCTGCAACCTCAAACAGAACTGATATTCCTTCTGAGATTCAAACCCATGTCATCTAGTGTTAAAACCAGCTACGTTACCTTTGACAGTTAAACGATTTGAAATGAGGTGCATTAATGTTTTACACTAATTTATGGTATGAATCAGTAGATTTTTACCAAACGGAAACTGATGTCAATGGAAGTATGTAGGATTGAGAAAATAAACTATGGGAATAAATTTAGTGGACATATGGGTCAATAATGGTAATGATTCAAGAATAAAACATGACAGATTGATCTAAGTAGAACAGAATTTGAGATAATCATAAATCAAAGTATCTTTTACTACTAATAAAGATATTAAGACGTGAGGTAATCAAGTGTAAGAAGTGTTTTACGGGGTTATTAGGGTGATGAGAAGTTAACGACTCTGCTTCTTAATGGATGAGTAAATTTGGTTTCAGCTTTCTGATTGTGGTAACTTGCACACAAATAATCGAAGTAATAATGTAGATCAACCCGGTGCACCTTAAAGTATTGCATTATGAGGCAGTTTAAGGGCTATGTTACTTTCCAGCTTCACATGCGGAAGTCACTGGCGTGAAATGTTCATTTGGAATCTGTTGCTTTAAATTTGAGTAGCTAAGTGAATGAACTACGTCGTCAGACTGCGAGGTCGATCATATAAAACGATTTTAAAGTATCCACCTGGTATTCTTTATCTTTTACGTATCTAGTAAGTGGACTAGTAAAACTACTGAATGCCCGAATTTCTACTCTCTCTGACCCTTCTTTTCGTCCTTCAAATGTATTTGGTTTGTTAAGTACATGAAAATACAAATAACCAGTTGGAAGTAGTAGTAAGAGGGAAACATGTCGTTTTCGATCACACCAGTGAAAAAGCTGTTTGAAACATGGAGTTAACGCAGCTGCAAAACAGTTTTTGATAAGTAAGCTTTTCGAGTCTTGTTTTTCACTTCAACTGCTATACTGTGTTCTATACACCAAATACTGGGTGAGGATTGAAGGTGAAATGAAGATTTAGACCAAGTTCGGATTCGAACCAGTGAACACCGGGTTTTTGATCTCGTGGTCTACCAACTGAACTGCGAGACCCGACTGCTGACCAGGTTTTATTTTACTTCAACCATCACTCTTTATCTCAGGTACTCAAAATGATAATCAATATGATGTTCCCCTACTCTTATTAAGTTAGATTTAGATTTGGATGAGAAGTCCTGACTGAGCACTCAGTGTGAATACGAACACATGGTAGTAACGCGTCTCGAATTCACATGGTAGTCGGCCAAAACCCTTGGTGATTGGAGTGGAATAAAAATATGGTCAGTAGTCAAGCCTCGTAGCTTAGTTGATAGAGCAGCGGGTTGGAAACCCGACGGCCGCTGGTCCAAATTTTTATCTCACCTTCAACCGATCACCCAGTATCAATACTTGTCTGCCAATCCACTTCTTTCTTGGATATTTGGAATCATGCACCGAACATTCATCATCTTGAAAATCAAGCTATCTGCTGAAAATACTCTTTTCGCTCAATCGAACAGCCTTGTAACTAGTGATTGAATGGAAAGAAGCTATGAGGATTCAAATAAAGGTCATTCCATGTGTCCTTTATTTGATTAGAGCGAACCATTTTGAGCGAACTATCTGTTCTATGTTGAATGCTCATCTACCATAATCTTCGTGTTTCAGTGTGAAATCATTTTCTTTATAGATGAGATGCAGTTAAAGAGAATCGGCTTAGATAGAACCATATTATATTATTCTGCTCAATATAATCTTGCTTTTCTAAATAAAAAGAACTGTCATATTTACCTGCCTTTGAGCTTACTTTAGTTAAATGTAGTCATATTTCCGGGATCATTTCTTATGGTCTTTCATCCTATGATTTTTGCTAATGTCTCAGTTACATTTGCGGTGATTCTGATGAGCTAATTTACTGAGGGATATTGAACAAGAGTTTATCTGGTTTTTAGGGGAACGCTTTGATAGATCGTCAAACAGAATATACACGGTTTCAGTGTTTTATTGATACACTTTAGCACCCAATTTTCTTAGTACAAAGCGCAACTACTTTGGCTAACTAAGAAGATGACTTCTACTTAAGTTATATTGGTCAGATTTAAGGATATATACGTAGCGTTTACCATAAGTGACAGATTGCGTTTATTCATAACTTTGGTGAACATTATATATATATATATATATATATATATATATATATATATGAAATTTTGATTTGCCGGGAATCGCTGTAGCCACGACTTAAGTTGTAAATTACACGCTATAACATATCAACTTTACCTGTCACACAAAGAAAGGATAACCTGACTTCATGGCCTAGTGGATACTCGTCTGCAGTTTGAAATAGCTTGTCCTAAGCTCTGAAATAAATGGAAACAACGTCACTATCTGAAAGTAAGGTGCATTCAGCTGACACATCAGAAATAGGACGAAATGGGTGTCCCGAACTCCACTGTTAGCAACTATCAATCATCAATATCAAACCAAAAATACTAGTAATTTCGAGGCATCTGCATAGCAGCCCATAATCCAATAGTGGCCGTTCAATTTAGTTCAGTCAATAATAGGAAATTACAAGCCATTATATCTAAATTAGGTTACAATGTTAAATTAAATATCGTAGTTTCTCAAGTTAATTATCGTTATGCATCCAAATGATACAAACCTAAGGTTCTAATATTGCGGTGATCTAATTATTTTCCAGCAGAATTAGATAAATATTCACTCACGTATCATTGACTTCTTATTGAGTAAAAAATATTTTTTAATAAAGCTGGTTAAAAATGTCATTTGAACCCGTGTAATTATCCAGTTCATTCTCTTCAACCAATATAACATCAGCATTAAAACAGACTGCCTTTCAGAAATCTAATTAGGCCGCTGGGATATTTTCACTGCTAGTCAAATAGCAAATGGTCCCCTTTTGTTCCCTTTTCAGTGACTAATCAATGTATCTAATCTAGTCCTAAAGCAGGTCAGTCACTGCCCGAATAGCTCAGTGATAACGTCGCTGACTATGATACCGGGTGATGTGGGTTCCAGTCTCTTCCAACCTGACTCCACGAATACCCGCAAGATTTCATTCCTTCCTCACACCATCTATCCCATCTCTATGTCACCCTCACCTCTGACACCCAACTCGACATTCCTCATTTGAGTTCCACTCGACGGCCTAACTTTACGCGTGATGTCCTCAAACCATCTTCTCAGTGTATGTCTAATCCAATCCATCTCCACTTTTTTCTTATGCATATTTATTAGGCGATTGGTTCTTGGTTGTTTCATTGCCAGAGTTCCTTGTTGCTTATTCTTTCTGATTAATTCATTATTAGCATCAACTATTTATCACTGATTGTTCTATCCCACTTTTTTTCTCTTATGCAGAAAAATTTCCTTTCGATATATGGCTAACGGACAATCCAACAATGATTCATTTATACAGAGTAAGTGATTAATTAGTTGGTTTTCACTTTGTATAATACTTGATATTAGTTGTACATACTTTAGGAATATTAAGGTATGTCTTTTATCTACTAGATGAATTAATAATGAAGGTAGTAATGTTTTCATCGCTACTGGTATGTTTTCAAACAACTAGGAATATACTACTTAAGAATATTAGTAGTAAGACAAATTTTCGATTCATCACAAGCCCTATGATAGGGTTCTGAAATCCTCAAAGTGTTTCACTTATCTTGATGGATTCCATGCGGAAATTCAAACACCTTAAGTTAGGAATATATAGTCACCTGAAAAGTATTCACCACCACCACCAACAACAAACTCCAATCACCATCAATGGGAGAAACTTAAAGGAAGTAACCTACTTCACCTATCTAGGCAGGCAGCACTGTTTCAACTACAGGCGACACAGGCACAGACGAGGATGTCAAAGTCAGCCAGGATCGGAAAAGCAAGACAGGCGTTCATTAGCCTGAGATCAGTGTGGAGATCTTCTGCACTGCACTCAGCATGTGGAACAAGATGCGGATTTTTAACACCAATGTCAAGTCAGTGCTTCTGTATGGCTCAGAGACTTGGTGCGTTAGGAAAGGGTTTTCCAATAAACTACAGACATTCATCAACAACTACTTACGCTGGCTCGATACTGAAGATCAGATGGATTGCCAGAAAGAAAAAGCAACAAGGAGCTCTGGGAACGAACCAACCAAGAAGCTATCGCTCAACAAATATGCAGTGGAAGGAAGTGGAGATGGATTGGGCATACACTGAGAAGGCCGACTGGGGACATCACGCGTCAGGCCAGTTGCTCGAGTGGAATCCCCAAGGGAAGCGACGAGTTGGGCGTCCGTGGAGAGGGTGACATGGAGGAGATCGTGTGAGGAGGAAATGAGAGCTTGTGGGCTGTCATGGAGCCAGGTTCAAAAGATTTCAGAGAACACAGCGCATTGGAGACGTGCTAGTGAAGCCCTATGTCCCACTAGGAACCCAAGGGACTAATAATAATAATAATAATAATATGACGTTGACTGAATGAATAATTATGAAAGTATTTACCAGGTTCATAATTGCTTTATTGTATTATTAACCATACTTTGTTTGAAAACCATTTGAGCAATTCCGAAAGTTTTGATTTGTAAATGAAGAGCTTAATTGAGTAAATTGAGAAACGATTAAAATATGAAACTACTTTATCAAATTGAGTTATGTAAGTTGATTAGTGTTGTTATATTTTTAAGTTATCACTTTTATCTTGACAAACTGATGCTTCATTTCTACATCACTGGTTATATTGTATCAAGTGATCATCAACTGATCCTCAATTAACTTGTTTTTTTTGCAGTCACTCTTCCAGCTGGATCGATTTCATCAGCTCTGTATAAAATCGTACAGCAATAGCCGAGGCTATTCATTGTGTTCTACTGATAAGAATGCTTTCATTTGACTGACAGTGTTGACAGTATTTCAGATGGTTAGTTACGCAGTTAATGATATGTCATCCTTGTAAGCAGTAAGGATTATATTTGTTTATACTTGCGCTTTCATGATAGCTGCAAAGAATCAGGAAATACTGCAGATGTCAGGGTAACAAGTGGAGTCTTAATCCTCACTAGTACTAGACTCTAAAGTTGGTTAAAATTCAGTAAACTAATTAACAGCTATTCAAGTCAGTAGCCAGTAAAATTACTGAAAAACTTCCAACAGCGAATTGTCATACTGAATAAGAAAATAGAAAATTGAACTATTATTTAAGGGAAAGTTGCAAAGGCGAATTCTATTTTGAACTTGGTGCTGATTAAGCTGCTTCTAATTCAATTAAAGACCAAAACTTCTAATTTATTTTGGTTGTGTAGTGTTCAGTGAGCTAGGTGCTTGCATCATGAAGCTTTCAATGTCTTTCTAGGTGACATCAACAGCACTAACTTCAGTATGGAGTGTGCTGTCAGTTTCTCTCCGTTAGCAATTCAGTAGCTTGCCATTACATAGTGGTTTGTGACTGGTTGTTTTCTTTGGTTGACTTCATTGGTTTTCTTGTTTGCTGTTCCTCTCTTTGACCTCTGATCTTTCTGTTGCTTATCAATTACTTACTGATTTTTAAGTTAGTATTCATCATAAACCGAAATCAGTTCGAGGAACATTGGAAATCTGGGGGCATTGAACAGCCACTTCGTCCTAGGATGGGACTCCTTATCAGTGCGCACCTGTGACCCCACCTGGATGGGGGTCGGACCTAGGTCCTTCAGGTTTTGTGGCCAGCACGTTACCATTGAGCCACTGCGTCGGTATCCAGTGGTCCATATTTCCTATTTCAATCAGTTCGGCAAATAGCGTGATCATCACCTTATGTCATCGCGGAGTATTTGTCCTCATGGGGACCAGGTCTACCCCACCGTTCAGGTTTTCTCACTGGAACTTCAAGAATCACGGCCACCGAACCGGAAGATCCTGGGTTCGATCCCTGGCAAGGTGGGGCCAGTGATGAGGAGTCCCATGCTAAGATAAAACGGCTGCCCAGTGTTCCCAGGTTTCCAATGTTCATCCAACAGATTTCAGTTCATGATGAATATCAACTTAAAAATCAATTAATCCTCACAAACCCTAAAATTAAGTTTCTTATTGCTTGACAGACTGGGCCTATGTTTGTGGGTCTACTGATTGCTGACTGACTTGAATGCTAAGCTTCTAGGAATTCTCTAATATTCTTAGTGTTTCCTGTGTCCAAAGTTTCTACAATTTCAAAAGTTAATTCATATCCATAGTTATTCACGTGCATTGCAATGAGCGATGAAATGTCGTGACGAAGGTGAGTACGGTAACCACTTTGTCCAATGTAGTGTTGATCACACTTATTGCAGTTGATTGTGTGAGTGATGCTCGGTTTATCTTCTTTAGTTGTTGGATCGTTTGGTCTGCATAATATGGTTTGAAGGGAATTTGTTAGTTTATGAGCAGCACCAATTCCAGGTGGTCTCAGTAATTCTGTCATAATCTCTGATATATTCTTTATGTACCGTAGGATGGTCCGTATGTTGATTTCTGTGATTGATTTTGGAGTTGATGATGTACGGAATAGGTATCTTCTGATAAAGTTTCTTCGGTAGCCGTTCTTCTTTAAGATAAGGACTAAATAATTTTCTTCGTTTCTCTGTGAAGCACTCAGCTATGGGAATTCAAGTATTGTCCACACCATATATGCTTCCTACAAATCGATCTGTGAATACAGGCATCTGATATCCGTGTTAATATGATATTGAGAAGATGGAATTCTGAGTCCTATTCAAATTCTGATATGGAGTTGACTGGTGGGTGACAATCACTCGACATTTTGACTACAGTCCCAATATCTGTATTTTGATCACATATGATTAATGTATCATATATATCTCGTGTATATGTGTAGAAACTACCAACTGTTGAATGAAGCACAGTATTCTCTAGATTTGCTACGAAGTGGTCATAAGTTAGTAGTGGTGGAAGTGGTGACCCCATCCTTTTTATCTATACAGCTGATAGTTGAATTTGAAGTGAACTGTGAAGGTAAATAATGCTTTGTGATACTTACATGAAACTTATTATCTTCGATGAAATCACATAGAAAATAGATAGTTTCTTTTGGAGGGAAATTGATTTGTGAAGAGAGAAACGACTCACTCACTGGATATATTGACATTAATAATAGAGTTGATGAAGTTGAAGCGATCGAATAATGTATGTGTATTTAGATGTTTCTGTGACTGTTTGGAAGATGTCGGAGAGCCACTTGTTGATCGAATTTTGTATTGAATTGTTCATGTCGGAAACTGTGCTTAGTGGAAGATCTTCTATATACTTTCGGGGAACCAAATAAGCGAGGATTAAAGGAACCAGCAGGTTACAACTCATTAAATAGTTTGTTGCTAATGATAGACTCATTCTTCATTTTCTTCAGAATATGGGTGAGCATTCGTTCAATTTGGTTAGTGGCATGATTTAGAGGAGACTCTTTAGAAGACTGACTCTTATCTGATCATAGAACAACGGAAACCAATTGTAGTGCATTGATAGATACGACAAACAGTACAGAGCAACCTTTGACATTAGAGGGTTTATCGGACTATAAATTACTGTTTTTCAATGAATCAGTTAGAAACAGATCGTTTGTTCTATGTAATTTTAATGACTTCATAGTGTAGTTGGTAAGTGTTTTGTTTATTTTTCACTTAACAAGAGAAACAACACCTTCACATGTGTATACTTTAATGAAAATTAAGTACTATACTTGAGTTCACAAAAGATTATTTATAAATCAGTCAGTTGATAAACTCGGGTACCATCGAGTTTTGTATGCAACTAACTTCATTATACCTTCCTCTGATGAAATATAAGAAATGTAAAGTATGTCAAGATGGCTCATCTTAAGAATTGGGAAAGGAATAATAACAGTCGTCATTACGAATAAGACCATGCATGCCTTCCAAGACATTTATTCAGTAATCTGCTTTATAATATCTACTATTATTTTCTGTAGATTTTTAACATCACCAGAATGATTTTTCATAATGAATGATGATTGTTGATAAAAAAAAATCATTTAGATATCATTGTGAAAAGCGATTTACTGACAGGACGATATTTTTAAAAAAAACCTAGTTACTCTCCTGAAAAGTAGTCATAGCGTGCACACTCACTTCATATCATAAGGTCAGTGGTAGTGAAGATTAAAAACAAAGATAAGACTTTGTTAATTGTGTAGAAATTTTGCATTTTCACGGTTGTATAAAAAACTGACTTAATATTATAACTAACTAGATAAAGCGTAAATAACTTGTTCTCAAGTGAGATACTCACATCTGAGTACTGACTCTTTAGTGTAGTCATAATTTCCACTCAATCAAGCCCATTGATTTAAGGGAACAAAGACTACTAGAATACATAAAGTTAATGCATATAGTTGTTCTCAACTAATTAAATAGAGAAGAGATATAGTTGGCCAGATTCGAACCGATGACATCCCTTCTTGATGACGTATTAAACCAAGGCGTATCATAATTTCTGTTTGTTGATACTTATGATTTTCCACTGCAACACTGAATCGAAATATTCGACGTCTGTCGGAAGATGGGTTCATGTGAGGATGCTTTTATACTCGACATATATTATGTTGTGACTTATTTGGTGACTAGAACAGGAATCAAAGACGAGCCTTTCAGACTATTTGGGATTTGTCAGCTGGACGTACCTGCATCTTGATGGGTAATGGTGTGGCCACTGAGATTTGAACCCAAAATCGATCACTTCAAGCATCCAGGCGTTATCTACTGAACCAGTGAAGCCCAACAGCCACCCATCCGTTGTTACCATGATTTCTTCTCCAAATAAAACGATAATCATAATGTCAATTTAATATGACACTACTTTTTAAATTATCCAATCTGTATGAAACTGAGTAAGCAGCGGTTCAAGTGTATAAACAGTCATAGAATGTTTTACGACCTATTATCAAATAGGAGATAGAAACTTAGTCAGTGATTATAAAACTAATTTTTAGGCTAGTAGAGATTCGTTCACTAGTGACACGATAACAGGGGATTCTACTTTAATTGCCTAAGTGACCGTGAAACTTTATCAAATAGGCTTGAAATTCTACTGTGTTGACAATTTGCTTGAAACTGAGATGCAGTCTAATTTAGTACTAGATGGTTTTACTCAACAGGCATCACACCTTTTATTTAGACTTAATTTCTACCAGTATAACTGTAGACATCTTAGTCAAAAGGTGACATAGTCCAGTGTATCTTAGTGTCACTTAATCCGTGAAATTAATAAGTCATATAAACAGGTAAATGATATAACTCAACAAATTTGCACGCTTTCATGTAATAGATTACAGCGATAATTATTTTGTGAGTGGCTGTCAATTATCCCTAACTGTGTGAACTCCAAAAGTTGGGTCAGTCTAAGGACGGATGATTTACTAGTTAAAAGTTGGATGCATAGGAAGAAAACTCATAGCTGCCTGTACATGGTGTTTGTTTCACTCTCTTCTCATAGACTATGTATATGTTGAGCAGCTCAGTAAATAGGCACTTGTCTATATTCGGAGAGAATGAAATTTAGGATCAAGGCTATTCGAAGTTAATTTTGGTTTTCATGCACATGCTGGCTCGTTTTGTTATTCCGCAGTAATTCTGAGAAGCTGATAATCATTCCATTCCACTAGACGGGAAAGTAGAAGAGTCACGCTTTACCTATACTAGCTTTACTCCCTGAATTCAGATAACCATTCTCATATTATCTTGTTCTAAGTGCTGACCAGATTCCATCGATCGTTTGAAATAAGCTCACCACCCTAGTAGGCTTATGCATTTTGACTGATTTTAGACGCCTAGACAATAATCGACTGGAAGCCATCGACCAAGGATAAAGATACACCTTATTGACGAGTGTCAACAAGCTTTTAATAGATTAACTCCAACTGCCTCAAATCTAGTTTGCATATACGCTGGACGACGAAAAAGAATATAGAAGACTTGGATTTCGCCACTGATGACTTGTGTCTCATGTCACATAAACTTGAAGATCTACAGGCGAAAACTAACAAGTTGATAGAAGAGGCAGGACAGCGAAGACGGGACTTCAAGTCAATATAGAGAAGACAGAGGTGATGAAGATACCCAACCAACACCACCAACAACAACAACAAGCTCCAATCACCATCAATGGGAGAAACTTAAAGGAAGTAACCTACTTCACCTATCTAGGCAGGCAGCACTGTTTCAACTACAGGCGACACAGGCACAGACGAGGATGTCAAAGTCAGCCAGGATCGGAAAAGCAAGACAGGCGTTCATTAGCCTGAGATCAGTGTGGAGATATTCTGCACTGCACTCAGCATGTGGAACAAGATGCGGATTTTTAACACCAATGTCAAGACAGTGCTCCTGTATGGCTCAGAGACTTGACGCGTCACGAAAGGGATTTCCAACAAACTACAGACATTCATCAACAACTGCTTACGCTGGCTCGCTACTGAAGATCAGATGGATTGCCAGAAGGAATAAGTAACAAGGAGCTCTGGGAACTAACCAACCAAGAACCTATCGCTGAACAAATATGCACTGGAAGTAAGTGGAGATGGATTGGGAATACACTGAGAAGGCCGACTGGGGACATCACGCGTCAGGCCAGTTGCTCGAGTGGAATCCCCATGGGAAGCGACGAGTTGGGCGTCCGTGGCGAGGGTGACATGGAGGAGATCGTGTGAGGAGGAAATGAGAGCTTGTGGGCTGTCATGGAGCCAGGTTGAAAAGATTTCAGAGAACACAGCGCATTGGAGACGTGCTACTGAAGCCCTATGTTCCATTAGGAATCCAAGGGACAAATAATTAATAATAATAAATAATATGCATAAATGTATGGTACACTTTTGATTTATTCCTGTTGTTTTATTTCGTTGCAACGTTCATTAGGCATCAGTGAGGAACAGGCGTCAGATGCATATTCGAAGTGTTAAGCACACCTGGTGGCGACCAAAATCAGGAAGAAGAAGTGCCAAGAGATCATCATATAAATACAAACATCAAATCGGTAATTTTTCTTATTTCATATTCTTGATATTAACAAATTGAGTAGATTGGGTGGAGAGTAGTAATACTGACCAAATCTCCCTCTCATCCTCTGCAATGTAGTAAGGGTAATTGACCCATAGTATGCAGGCTTTAGATCACTGATGATCTTCCTAAATATGGTCGGCTGGACTGCATCATGCAAGAAAGAACTGTGAGAAGCTATGAGCAGATGAGCGTGCACTGTCTGAACGATGAAAAGACCCTAGAAGATCTGGATTTCGCCGCCGATGATGATTTATATCTAAGGTCTTGTCGCACAAACTCGGAGATCTGCAGGCAAAACTAATACGTTAGCGGAATAGGCAGTCAGAGTAGCGAATACGGCACTTCCTTCAGGTGAACGTAAAAAACAGAGAGGTGATGAAGATACCCAACCAGCACCACCACCACCAACAAACACCAATCACCATCAACGGGAGAAACCTGAAGGAAGTAGCCTCGTTCACCTACCGAGGTAGCATCCTTTCAATTACAAGTGGCGGAACAGGTGAGGATATCAAGGCCAGCCGGGATCGGAAAGTCAGCAAGACAAGCCTTTCTTCACTGATCAGAAATTAGCTTAAAGAATGACATCCGGAGTTTCAACACTAATTCAGTCAAGTAAGTCAGTGCTTCTGTATGATGGTTGAGAGACTTGGCACGTCACGAAAAGCATTTCCAACTAACTACATACATCATACATGAACACCTGCTGCCTCCACTCACCCGACACTGATACGGAAGATCAAATGACCAGAAAGAACAAGCAATAGGGAACTTTGGCCTGTCAAGAACCTATCGCTCAACAAATATGCATAAGAAGAAAGTGGAGAAGGAGTGAATTGGGCATACACTGAGAAGAACGTTTGAGGATGCCACGTGCCAGGCCAGGGCGTTGAGTGGAACCCGTATGGGAAACGACGATTTGGGTGTCCGAGGTGAGAGTGACATGGAGATGGGATGGATGATGAGAGGAAGGAATGAAATGTTGTGGGTATTCGTGTAGTCAGATTGAAAGAGAAGACTGTAGAGAATGGAGTGGAATTGTGATGCGCCACTGAGTCCTTATGTTCCACTAGGAACCCCAGAGACAGATAATTTAATGTAGGCTTTGGAATCATTACCCTTAATTATTTGGGATAGCTCATTTATAGTATAATTTTTTTAATGATGACACTGACCAGGAATTAACAGTAGTTGATTTCTTTGTATACAGGTGGCCAACCGTACACGTTGTCATGAAATCTCGGCACTAACATTCTTAACACTTATATGAAATTGCAGGGATGCACGCATCTTAAATTGTTCAGACTTATTACAGCCGTCGCCAAAACTTCTAGCGCTTATGGTTCGTCCGTCACCAGAAACTTTCCATATTAAGCCTAAGTCGAGAGATATGCATACATTTTACGTATAGTTTTATTTCACGCAGTTTACAGATAAACTAGGGATTCGGTTTATGTCAGTGAACATATATGGACTGACCTAGATACCAACAACGCTGAATAAACTAAAATAACGTCCAAAAATGATTGCTACTCAAGTTATCTTTGCATATTTCTCACTATTTGTTCAATTCTCAGTTCAACACTTAAGTATACCCTACCCAATCCCAGCTCAGCATTCGGTATGTATCGTGTGAACTGTTTCGCGGAAACAAGTCACATTAAACAAACGATTCGGGTAGGTACTTTTTCAGATATATGAAAATTTACTGGATTGGTTGGGAAAGGGTTAGGTCAGAGTGGTCGGTGGTTCCATAACGGCTCTACCTGGTAGACACAGGGCCTCAAAAAGATGTTAACAGATCTTTTTCTGTCGTGTACCATTGTCCTGAAACATAGTCATATAGAGCTCACCAACACTGAAGCTGCAATAGAATATTGACTAAACCTGAACTCAAAATTCAGAGGAAATACGCTTAGGCATGGTTCTTTTCTTAGCCGCCTTATTCGTCATTATTTTCTTTCTTTCTTTGACCATTTCATTCTTCATCCATCTGCACAAGTCACTTAAATATTGACAAATTTAGAAATAAAAGTCGATCTGGTTACAGCCTGTAATGTACATTCTATTTTGTAAATGTATTCATCTCAGACGTCGCCTGTTTTTGTGTCGAACGAATCCATTTTACAACTGTAAAACCTGACAAGAATTCACTAAAAGCAAACTAGTTAGTCTATGATATAAGCAATGTGAGTGTTTATTTTGACTCACTTAAACATTTCAAATGATTGCAAAGTATTGATATGATCGGTAATGTGACCTAGCAGTTCACGAGCGGTACCAACCTAACGTGCCAAAGAATCTTTTCTAATCTCTAATCAGAAAGTCAACCATCACAGCAAAAATATCACTGGCGTGCAAAGACAAGAAAAGAAGACGGACCATTGGCAGAGAGATAATACTGTCTTAACAACAATTAAGGTAGCTGACAGCGATGCTAAATTTATACATTTCTAAACGACCTTGACAGTCACTAAATTCATTGGTAAATTAAGAGTTAACAACCATTGGCAGTTCAGACTTCAGAAGCAGTGGGAAAAACAAAGGCTAGCAACAACGCTAAGAGGGCCGTAAACAGCATTATTAAGTTTATTAGCAAATACCGGGCAAAAGGTAAGCAAAGTTAGGGATGTATAACAAGTATGTCTGGAAAACGGCACCGATTTCATGTTAATTCGATGCAATACAAAAAGTATGTTTGTAGCAGTTTAGGCAGATACCAAGTATATATTTAATGATCACTGGAGAGCAACCACTTTCATGACTCTTGGTCCGAAGCACTCCACTATGATGAGTTTCCTAGCTTGGTAACCAAATAAATTAACACGGCACCTCTGAGTATAAAACATGAACTTGGTTACTCTTCAATTACCGTGCTACAAGAGGTCAGTCGAAACGAGAATCTCTAAGTAGCAAGGTTTTCGACAGAGGCACTCGGTGGTGTGAGCTTGAATCTTTGACAAGGTATCAATTCCCCTGGAGGTCGCAGATTTGGTTTACTGATCAGTTTCACCGAAATCTAGGTGAAATGGGGTTTCATGCTCATCGTCTCCAATCAACGAACAGAGAAATTATGCATGATAAATGGAACACGTGTCACAGCAATGAAGTCTCAAACCTTTTGTTGGTTAACAGAAGTTGAAATTTATGGAAAACTTTCATGATCAGCTAGTCATTCATGTTGATACTTGTAATATGCCACTGTTATACTTAGTCGAATTGATCGACCTCTGTTAGGAGATTGGCTTTGATGGAGATATCTTGATATAACATGATTGTTCATCATGTTGTACGTTACTTGGTGGGTGGTAGTGGAATCCAGAAAATACCTTTGGTGCAATTTCAAACTCGCCAGTTAGATGTACCTGCCTCTCAATAAGTGAGCTTTATTCTACAAAGACTAGAGCCCATATGTTCCGGATTCTACTGCTGACCAAGATTTGGAAAGATTCCATGACACAGCTTGTCAATATCTGATTATATAATTCCTCAATAATCAATCAATCTGATATTCCAATAACTCAGAGTCATCCTTCCGTACATGTATCCGTCAAACTCGTGTTATGTGAACGTCTGAAGCTAGAGTTATTGCTCTCTCTGGTTGGTTGTTTCAGTGACTAGGAATGGTGAAGGCTGAAGTCTTTCGTCGAAGTGGTCAGGATTATTCACGTTTCGCGCTAAAAGATAACAAACACACACACACACACACAGAGATCTGAAATGTTATTAGTGTGTGCTAAAACAACACAGGTTGTAATTCTCGAAGGTTAATGTGGGGGACATCACGCGCCAATCTAGTCTGTCGAGTGGAACCTGTATGGGAAAGGACGAGTTGGGTGTCCGATGTGAGGGTGAGGTGACATGGAGATGGGATGGATGGTGAGAGGAAGGAATGAAATCTTGTGGGTATTCGTGTAGTCAGATTGAAAGAGAAGACCGTAGAGAATGGAGTGGAATGGCGACACGCTACTGAATCCCTATGTTCCACTCGGAACACCAAGGGACCAATAAAGTTAATAGTAATAATGATAATGATAATAATAATTGATGTGATATGGAGTATATAAATCTTCTTGTGTATGCTTATTGATACTTGTAATTCCCCATTACTACAGTGGGTCGAAATTCTGGATCTGTGTTGGAATATGGGCTCGTATGCGTATGCCTCAATAATTCCTGGAAGTTTGTTGTGATGTAGATTATTTGGTAGTGAGCAGTGGGATCGAAGACATGCATCTCGTCCTATTTGGTATTCGTCAACTGGACGCATTTGCACCACAGTGGCGGATATCGTTCCCACTGAGATCTGAACTACATCTTCTCGATGATTTAGTGGGTTGGGTTTGGCATTAGAAGCGTTCAACAGTTGGTTTGAGTCCGAATGGGAGCAACAACACTCAGTGGGATGAATCCCGAGTTATGGATTGCATTGCTAATTACCAACTAGTGTACAATATAGTGAGCATCCTTTTAGACCTACTTCAGTGGGCACTGAGGCACCGTTTTGCCAGTGAAACTAATTAGTGGTAACAGCATTTCGCAAAGTGGTACAAGTTGATTCAGACCTTATGGTTGAATAACAAATTGCTAGTGATTTGATTTTATGGTCTTTGATTCGATCCTACATAAGCTCAAGGGTACGTACTGTTGGACTGTAAACCAGGATCAAAAAGCGGTTCAGTGTTTCCAGGTTTTCAATGCTTTTCTGCTCAATTGTGATCTATCAGGAGTACTGTAGCGTTTAATTATTGTTTTACCAAATATTTCCAATCTATTAACTAATAAATGTTTCAACCAATTACTTGATAGTCAATAAATTCTATATATTTATCGATCAGCTGTGTTTAAAATCATACTGTGATCAGTAATTCCTGGAGTATTCTTCCTCTTTGGTATATGTAAGTTGCAGTAATTAATTATTACTCAGACTATAGAAGTCTAAGGGTAGAAATTAAATTTCCATTTCTGCTTAAT